TTGCTGTTCTGGCTTCTGGGATAGCTGCGCAGCCTGCATTTGGCTCCATAAGATGCACATACATTCCCCCTGACTTTTTAGGAGGGAAAAAGTGAGTCTTATAGAGCAAAAAATACGCTACTTGAGCCGATGGAATGAGAGACTTGGTGCTACGTTGAAACCCACCCATGATATCAGCCTCCCATCTTAAAATGCTCTTTCTCAGACAGGTGAACTAAGGCTTTAGCCTACACACTCCTTACCTGGGAGCAAATCCTATTGAACTGAAATGGGGGTTGCATATGAGTAGACACTTTATGATGGTGAGAGCTCCTTGAACTGTGGAATGGACTCCCTTGGGAGATGGTCAGCTCTCCTTCCTGGGGGTTGGGATGTTGAAGAAGAGGTTGGATGGCCAATCTGTCAGGGATGCTTAGTTGAGATTCCTGCATTGCATGGGGTCGGACTTGTTGATCCTTGCGGTCCCTTCCAACTCCGCGTTTCTGTGCACACGATTGCACTGTAACGCATCTTCAGAGCAGCAGCAGGGTTTTGTTTTTACATTTCAAAGTACAGTCATACCTCGGGTTACAGACGCTTCGGGTTGCGTGATTTCGGGTTGCGCACCGCGCTGAACCCAGAAGTACAGGAACGGGTTACTGCTGGGTTTCGGCACATGTGCAGAAGCACTAAATTGCACTTTGCGCATGCGCAGAAGTGCCGAATCGCGACCCACGCGTGTGCCTCCCGCACGGATCACGTTCACAACTCGAACGTCCACTGTATCTAATACTTCGCTTTCCTCCAAAATATTGGCTCCCGAAGCAGCTTAAAAGTACCAGTGGCCTGTGTTGCACCCAGCGGTGGGCAGGCTGAGAGAGAATCCTACCTGCCTCTTACTCTGCCTTTCTCAGCAATGGCAAAAGGGATTAAAAAAAACAAGAATTATTATTGCATTATATGCTCAGTCTGGGTTTTCTTGCCTTGCATTCGGCAGCGTGATTTCCCCCAGCCGAGATGGATCACGTCATCGGCAGTAGCCCTGCATTTGAGTGCATGCATGAGAGCATTTGAACGATGATATATCTCTGCTTCACAAGCTGGGATTTGAATGAGTCTTTTGCCTGTGCACGCGCGGCTCCCTTTGTGCGAGTCAGCAAGCCAACCAGGAAGTCTTCAGGTAACTCTAGTTCCTGTTCCATCCAAACCAGGAAGCTATGGTTAGCAGGCTTTGCAAGAAGCCAGGGTAGTGTTCCTAAGCCTTTCATCATATTTTTTTGCAGTTCAGTTCTCTTTCGTCCAAAGTTTACGGAAGACTTCCTGGTGGATTTGCCCCTTTGCGTAAAGGTGCCAAAGACTGGTTCATACTTCTGCTCATTAAGCAGGGAGCGGATAATCTGTGTGTATGATGCTGCCACAGCCGTGGGCAATGTGCGGCCCTCTGCATAAATTTACGTGGCCCTTGGCTTCTTTGGCCCCGCCCATTTTGGATCCTGGCCCTGCCCTCCACTGGCTTCAACCTTGGCCTTCGGTTAGCTGAGGCTGTGCAGGCCTGGATAGGTTTGGGGGCCTGGGGAATTACCTCATGTAGGCCGCCTTGGGTTCCATGACAGAAGAAAGGAAACGAATAAAGCGAAATAGCTATGGCCTTCAACAAATTACCCTCGAGGGAAGGTGGCCCTCAACCAAAAATCTCCCCCCTGTCCTGAACTATATAGCCAATGTTATGAAAATCTTGGCCTATACAAATGGACTGAAACCACTGTATTGCCCTTCGTATGTACAGTGGTACCTCTGGTTACGAACAGGATCCGTTCCGGAGGCCCGTTCGGCACATGAAAGGAACGCAACCCACAGCGACGCGTCTGCACACGCGAGGGTTGCAATTCGCTGCTTCTGCACATGCGTGTGACGTCATTTTGCGCGCATGCGCGAGTGGCAAAACCCGGAAGTAACCCTTTCCGGAACTTCCGGGTCGCCGCGGGACGCAACCTGAAGAAATGTAACATGAAGCAAACATAACATGAGGTATTTGAGCTCTCTCGTGGAAAATTCCATGGCTGAAATGATTCCTGTTAATCAGTAGCTGTTATTTATGTTGTTGAGAAATCAGCTACTTTTCCATTCCAGCCAGTCAATAGTTTTTTATGCTGCTTGGAAGTTTTTTAAAAGTGTCATCACCTGGTGCGTTGTGGGCTGCCAGTGGCGACTTATTTCTCCCATTTGACCAACCTGAATCAATGCAGGGTGCAGTGTTAGAAATTAGCCAGGCTCCAGGTGCATTTTTCTACTAGCGTGGGTGCAGTTGCAGCTACATGGAGATGTCTGGGTGCAGGGTTGGCGACCACAGTTTAAAAACCTCCGCCTTAGTAAAGGTAAAGGGACCCCTGACCATTAGGTCCAGCCATGACCGACTCTGGGGTTGCGGCACTCATCTCGCTTTATTGGCCGAGGGAGCCGGCGTACAGCTGCCTTAGTCCATAGTTAATACCATTCCCATTTCCGCTGTGTGTGTTTCTCCTTCTTGCATGCTGGGACCAGTGAATTGTTGTTAGAGCAAGCAACAGTCGATCATAGATTCATGGAATTGTAGCGTTGGAAGGGAACCCCAAGGGTCATCTAGTCCAACCCCCTGGCGAATAGACATTCCGTCGTGGCGACTGTAAACCTAGGTTTAAGGTGCCACTTGGCACCTAGCTTATACATGCTAGCGAGACTGAATGTCCTACAGGGGAGATTGTAGAAAATACAAAGCGGTACAGTGGTGCCTCGCAAGACGAAATTAATTCGTTCCGCAAGTTTTTTCTTCTTGCGAGTTTTTCGTCTTGCGATGCACGGTTTCCCATAGGAATGCATTGAAAATCAATTAATGCGTTCCTAGGGAAACCACCTTCAGACCAGGTCCGGGGACAGTCTGTTCCCCGACCTCTTCTGAAGGCTGGGGGGGGGGGAACAAGGGCTTTTTCCCCACTGCCAGCCTTCAGAAGGCTGTTCTGAAGGCTGGCGGTGGGAAAAAAAGCCCTTCTTCCCACCTCCCGCCCCGCAAGCTCCGGGGACAGGAGGGCTTTGCTGCCGACCGCCAGCATTTTAAAAGCCCCTGCTGTCCCGGGGCGATTTTAAAATGCTGGCGGGCGGGAGCGAAGTCTCTGCTGTCCCGGGGAGATTTTAAAATGCTGGGGGGCGGGAGCGAACGCTTCGCTCCCGCCCGCCAACATTTTAAGATCGCCCGGGGCAGCAGAGACTTCTCGCCCAAAGCAAGGGGAGCTCTCCGAAGGGCTCCCCGTGCTTCGGGCGACAGGCTGCCGCCCCAAGCCTCGCGCACCCGGCAGGACCTCCTGCTGGGCGCGCGAGGCTTGCAGACACTCGCCCAAAGCAAGGGGAGCTCTCCGAAGGGCTCCCCGTGCTTCGGGCGACAGGCTGCCACCCCAAGCCTCGCGCACCCGGCAGGACCTCCTGCTGGGCGCGCGAGGCTTGCAGACACTCGCCCAAAGCAAGGGGAGCTCTCCGGAGGGCTCCCCGTGCTTCGGGTGACAGGCTGCCGCCCCAAGCCTCGCGCACCCGGCGGGACCTCCTGCCGGGTGCGCGAGGCTTGCTGACACTCGCCCGAAGCAGGGGAAGCCCTCCGGAGGGCTCCCCGTGCTTCGGGCGACAGGCTGCCGCCCCAAGCCTCGCGCACCCGGCGGGACCTCCTGCCGGGTGCGAGAGGCTTGCAGACACTCGCCCAAAGCAAGGGGAGCTCTCCGGAGGGCTCCCCGTGCTTCGGGTGACAGGCTGCCGCCCCAAGCCTCGCGCACCCGGCGGGACCTCCTGCCGGGTGTGCGAGGCTTGCAGACACTCGCCCGAAGCAGGGGAAGCCCTCCGGAGGGCTCCCCGTGCTTCGGGCGACAGGCTGCCGCCCCAAGCCTCGCGCACCCGGCGGGACCTCCTGCCGGGTGCGCGAGGCTTGCAGACACTCGCCCGAAGCAGGGGAAGCCCTCCGGAGGGCTCCCCGTGCTTCGGGCGACAGGCTGCCGCCCCAAGCCTCGTGCACCCGGCGGGACCTCCTGCCGGGCGCGCGAGGCTTGCAGACACTCGCCCAAAGATTTTAAAATGCTGGGGGTCGGGAGCGAAGCGTTCGCTCCCGCCCACCAGCATTTTAAGATCGCCCGGGGCAGCGGAGAAGTCTCCGCTGTCCCGGGAAGGCAGGCGGGGGGGAGCAAAGACTTTTGCCCCCCGCCGGCCTTCAGAAGAGGTCCAGGACCTCTTCTGAAGGCCGGCTGTGGGCGAAAGTCTTTGCTCCCGACTGCCAGCAATTTAAAACAGGTCCCCGGAGATTTCCCTATGGGCTTTCGTCTTGCGAAGCAAGCCCATAGGGAAATTCGTCTTGCGAAGCGCCTCCAAAACAGAAAACCCTTTCGTCTTGCGGGTTTTCCGTCTTGCGAGGCATTCGTCTTGCGGGGTACCACTGTATCTGAATTTTGCTGAGTGATTTTATTGCATCAAACCTTACTGGAATTGTGTCTGTATGCAAATAAGGGTTCGAAAATTGTGAATACTGCCGTCACCATAGTTGAACCTTATAGTCTTTGTGTGAGCACAGAGCTTGTTTTCACTAAGCACCTTGCGTCATTATGAGAAATGGTGTGTTTTTTAAAGGATTGCTTAGCTCGCAAACCAGCCCTAGGTTTGAATCAGAATCAGCGTGGGACTGTTGGTTTACTCTCCCCTTCCTTCCATTCCCAAGGGCTCTGAGGAATTTACATTGCAAAACTTCTGAAGACCTCGCTGGGGTTCCTGTCTGATGCCAAATGGGCAATGGCACTTTGTTTTCATTGCAACTCTGCGCTTTCCCTCGTTGACAGCTGCATTGAGCTTTTGCTAGGAGGAGCGGGGTATAAATATTTTAAATAAATGCATGGTTAAGAGTGTGGCTGAGCTTGTAGCTTCTGCCGCACCCAGTTAGCTTTTTACAAAGCTTTTAAAAAATCTGATCAAATTGAAGGTATTTCATTCTGCATTTTTGTTTTTTCTCTCTCTTCCAGGGAAGCTATCCGGTTTGGGAAGATTTCATAAACAAAGCTGGGAAGTTGCAGTCTCAGCTTAGGTAAGCTAAACCCCGTTCTTCTCTTTCTGTCAGAGTTGGTCCTGTAATCTACTAAATGTCTGCACTTCAAATAAGCTTGGACTTGGAGCGCAAGATGCTTGCAGGCTGTCGGCAAATGATGGTTTGCAAATCTGGAGACAGCTCCCAGAACACACACTCTTTCCCCCCTTTCTCCTCCCCATTTGTGGAGCAAATTCCCCTTGTCTCGTTCCATAGTTTGGAGTCACACCTTCAGGGACGTGGACCATGACTCCCGTATGAATGAAAATTTGAACCCTTGGTTTGATGAAAATTAGGAAGCGATAGTTACTCGGGAAGTTTGTGTTAACCGTGGTAAATACTGTGCACATGAGAGCGAGGAACCTGTGACTCTCCAGTGGGTGTTGGACTCCAACTCCCATCAGCCCCAACCAGCATGGCCAGTGGTCTGGGAAGATGGGAGTTGGAGTCCCAGCAACATTTGTAGGACCACGGCTTCCCCAGCCCTGATGTAAAATTTTGAACCATGGGCAAAGGCAAAGTGAAAGGAGAATTCGCCGGAGATCGTAAATGGGGAAGTAATATCCATTCCCATGGCTAGCTTTATGATTTGCAAACTATTGTTTCCAGAGAACCAGTGTGAAGTCTGCAATGTGCACATAGGTAGAGGTAGAGGGGCCCCTGACCATTAGGTCCAGTCGTGACCGACTCTGGGGTTGCAGCGCTCATCTCGCTTTATTGGCCGAGGGAGCCGGCGTACAGCTTCCAGGCCATGTGGCCAGCATGACTAAGCTTCTTCTGGCGAACCAGAGCAGCGCACGGAAACGCCGTTTACCTTCCCGCCAGAGTGGTACCTATTTATCTACTTGCACTTTGACATGCTTTCGAACTGCTAGGTTGGCAGGAGCTGGGACTGAGCAACGGGAGCTCACCCCGTCGTGGGGATTCGAACCGCCGACCTTCTGATCGGCAAGTCCTGGGCTCTGTGGTTTAACCCACAGCGCCACCTGCGTCCGCAATGTGCACATAGCTCTTGTTAGATTCTTTTCAATATTCTAGAGTCACTATGCACGGCCCTCCCTTTGCCACAGCAAATGCTCTCCGAAATACAGGTGTCATCTGGGTGTGGTCTTTTCAGAAACCCAGTCCTGCATTGTCTGTTAGTATAATTTGGAGGAAATGTCAAGCAGACATTTCAAACTCTACTTACTGGCAGGTACTAAAAGTGAGTAGCATATTCCTCTGGTTCTGCCTTGAGGATGCACTTCCTTCCTCCAGTGGCTTTGCTTCAGGCCCTACCCTGCATATGGGTTTTGCATTTTTGATCTGGATATGATTTTTATTTTTTTGCAAATCCTCATCTAGACATTTTCTCCATAGCTTGCTTGGAAGAGAGGAAATTTAAAGCATTTTGCGGAGATGGTGCAGGTAGACCCTGCAAATTGGTGCTTGCATTCTGTTTGCAAGTTAGTGCAGCAGTTCAGGTTTAGTAAAGCTGTCCTTATTTACATGCAAATTCGTTGAAGTTTCCACAGGGAGAAACGGAGTTGTTCTGTTCTGTTCTTGTTTGATACAGGAAGCTTAGATTGGGCAGTTTATCTTTGACAATAAAATGACTCAGGAGATCGGCTTTCTACTTGCCCGTGTCTCTGCAAAGTTGGGAGTGCAGTTAGCCTAAGATTCCGCTGAATTCTGTTTATTTAACAAGTGAATAACAATCTGGTTTGTCTTGTTTTCTGCTTCGCGGTTGTTGATAATGCCTAAATAACCAGAAATAAATATGCTAAATCTAGAGGGTGTTTCCATAAAGAAGGCTGATCGCCGAAGAATTGATGCTTTTGAATTATGGTGCTGGAGGAGACTCTTGAGAGTGCCATGGACTGCAAGAAGATCAAACCTCTCCATTCTGAAGGAAATCAGCCCTGAGTGCTCACTGGAAAGACAGATCCTGAAGCTGAGGCTCCAAGACTTTGGCCACCTCATGAGAAGAGAAGACTCCCTGGAAAAGACCCTGATGTTGGGAAAGATTGAGGGCACAAGAAGAAGGGGACGACAGAGGACGAGATGGTTGGACAGTGTTCTCGAAGCTACTAGCATGAGTTTGACCAAATTGTGGGAGGCAGTGGAAGACGAGCGCCTGGCGTGCTCTGGTCCATGGGGTCACGAAGAGTCGGTCATGACTAAACGACTAAACAACAACAACCGAGGGTGTTTGGTTAACTGACTCCATTCCACACATCTCACTTAGCCTTTCTTGAAGCAGAAGGACAACGTTGACATTCATTCTTCTCTCTTTCCCTTTGTTAAGGGCTCCCAGCTCTGTACGGTTCATACCTATACTATTGATCAGCTGCTGGAGGAGAAGATGGGGAGGGGGATGCAGTTTCCTTGCAGCTGAGCTGCATTCTGTCCTTTTATACCCTTGTTTCTTCGGCAGTGTGCCGTGAACAGTGGATGAAAACCTTCCCCGCGAGAGCAGCTTGCTTGGCATTCCGAGCCCTCTCTTGCTGTGAACCGTTTTCCCTACAGCAGATCTTGGCTAACGATTTCTTGATTCTCCAGTGGCTGCGAAGGGAGGGGGATTTTATGTGCGTCTTAAAAGTCTTCAGCTGACCTATGAAATGCTGTGCATCTTAACCTTTTCTATGTGGCTGTTTAGTTCCCAGGAGTGCTGGTGGTCTGAGGCTGTAACTTGGCTTTTAGTAGTAAATAAGAGATTTTTCATCCCTGCGATTCTCTGCTGCGCAAAGTGATTTTGGAAGGAGGGAATGGGGTGTTTCTGCAGGGGAGAAACAGCAGGCAGGGCAGGAGGTGCTTAACCCTTGGTCATCGCCCCTGCTGCTTTCCCCATTGCAACACCTCTTCCTGGCTTCGTTTTGTCTTTAGGGTGGGATTCCAGGATGTGTTTGCAAGCTCTGGGGAAAAATTGTGTGCGCATGTGTGTGGAAGGGGCAGAAAACTCTGGATAGAGAAGACCTTCCCTTCTGCAGGTTGATTCTCCATTGCAGATGTCAAGGCCTCTTCACCGTTAACTGATGTTGGCAAGCATGGGGTTGCCCGCCACAGACAGGTTCTATCTTGAAGAATTCTTCATTTGGAACCTGTGTTTAGTTCCTTTCTCTCCTGCTGCTGTGCCCTTGTTTTTCGTTTCTCCCCAAAGTCATGTCCCAGATTCCTTTTTAAAATTTAAATCTGAATATGCAATTACTTTAGAGAAGGAAGCACTTCAGCACAAGTTTTTGAGGTGAGCAGGGTCCTTAAGACCTACTTATTCATGAAGTGCCGGCTATATTTAGGAAGCTCGGATTTACATTTTGTTTCTTGCTGAGAGTAAGAATCTGGGGACCTGCAGCTACTGGATGCATGCTTGGAAAAGGGAATAAAAAGGCCATTGTGTTTGCAAGCCAAGGCAGCTTCCTAGGAGTTTTGTGTGGAAGGAATGCTTGGCCAAGCTACATCATCCTCAGACTTCTGCGATGAATCTGTACATCTTAAGACTGAAAGTGATGGGCGGGTGTGACTGTTTGAATGCTCCTCCAGCTGTTGTCCCTGTGCATTGAACTATCATGTCAGGCTAGAACATTCTCCCCAGGCTAGTTATGAATGTATATAATGAGGGAGTCATATTTTTGAGCAGGCTCCCTCAACCTCGGCCCTCCAGATGTTTTTTGGCCTACAACTCCCATGATCCCTAGCTACCAGGACCAGTGGTCAGGGATGATGGGAACTGTAGTCTCCAAACATCTGGAGGGCCGAGGTTGAGGAAGCCTGTTTTTGAGGGTTATCTTACCTGAATTTTGAAGTGGTCCAGCCCAGCAAGAGATTCATCCTTGTGTGATACTGCTGATCATGTTTTTTTGGTCAGAAGAACCACTGATACGACTTGCTGTTTTTTTTAAAAAAAGCAGGGAGGAGAGGAAGTCCAGATGAACTCTGTTCCCTCTTCCATTTTTGAGTTGGAACATTCAAAGCTAAGTCTGCATGACTTTCCCTATAGGGATGCACACGGTCTCCAAATGCAAACACACACACTTCAGCTTCTTAGAATTGTAGAGTTGGAAGGGACACCTAGGGTCATCTAGTCCAACCCCCTGAACTGCAGGAATGGAGAAACTGTGCAGGCCGTCCAGTGTCAGGTGATCTAGGGTGGACTCAAGCTATATTTGTGCTCTTACTCCCCAAATACGAAATGGTGCCCTTCTAGAGATGTGGAGGGGTGGGCAATCCATAGGAAAAAATGGGGGGAAAGGACCCTCAAAAATATTTTTCCCCACAGGCCTTCACATCTCTAGTACCAACCTCCTCCTGTAAATTAATATGAGTGCAGTAAACCAGGAAGTTTCCCAGTACAAGCACCATTGAAGTCTTGTGCAGGTCTCCCAACAGGGCTTGCATTGGAGAATGACCTGGCAGGTGGTATTGCATGGGCTAGAATGCTTTGGCATTCCATGTTGATGCGCCCAGATTCACCTGCATGAAGCAGCTGTTGCCCCTTGCCCCATGGTTGGGCCACCTCCTTGGATACTCTAAATGTATTATTAGCTTTAGAATACCTGGAGCTGCTCTATAGGGACGGGGGTGACGCTGTGGGTTAAACCACAGAGCCTAGGACTTGCCGATCAGAAGGTCGGCGGTTCAAATCCCCGCGACAGGGTGAGCTCCCGTTGCTCAGTCCCTGCTCCTGCCAACCTAGCAGTTCGAAAGCACATCAAAGCGCAAGTAGATAAATAGGTACCGCTCCGGCGGGAAGGTAAACAGCATTTCCGTGCGCTGCTCTGGTTCGCCAGAAGCGGCTTAGTCATGCTGGCCACATGACCTGGAAGCTGTACGCCAGCTGTACGCCTCGGCCAGTAAAGTGAGATGAACGCCGCAACCCCAGAGTCGGCCACGACTGGACCTTAACAGTCAGGGGTCCCTTTACCTTTACCTTTGCTCTGCAGTGTGAGCAAACAAATCTGTCCCTGCCAGGGATTTGTGCCAGGCTCCTAGGCTCCTGAAGGGCTGGTCTGCTCCCTGTCTGTACCCAGCACTGTGCCACTGGTTTGCCTGACGTGAGACTAGTGGGCTTTTGCGTACATTTTTCTAGATACCGCTTCACCTGTGGTGTGAGAGATAAGCCAGCATGGATCAAACGAGTACTGGGCCCATTGTGCAGGAGTCTGGTCAGAATGCTGCCCTTTCCTGTTGTTATATTTCTTAATGCACAGCACTTGTTCTTTTTATCCTCAGAAGAAATCTACGAGGTCTAAGCCTTATCCTCAAAGGCGTTTTTTTCCCCAGCTTTGCTAGACTGACCATTTATTTCTGGGAGCAGTAGTGTCGATAGCCTTCCTTTCTGTTTTCAGAGACAGAAACTTGGTCTGTAACTTTGCGCCTGGAACATCCATAGGCCGAGAAGCAGGTGCTGGAGATAGTACAGTAATTTCTCCTTTAGGTCAGGAATTTATGAACCAACAGCATTGGGAGAGGATCGCGTTGAGTCTTCAGGGTACAGCTTAAAGCAATGCCTAGCCATTTCACTGCCTCCTGCACGATTTGTTGTTGTTGTTGTTTAGTTGTTCAGTCGTGTCCGACTCTTCGTGACCCTGTGGACCAGAGCACGCCAGGCACTCCTGTCTTCCACTGCCTCCCGCAGTTTGGTCAGACTCATGCTGGTAGCTTCGAGAACACTATCCAACCATCTCGTCCTCTGTCATCCCCTTCTCCTTGTGCCCTCCATCTTTCCAGGGTCTTTTCCAGGGAGTCTTCTCTTCTCATGAGGTGGCCAAAGTATTGGAGTCTCAGCTTCGGGATCTATCCTGCACGATGTTGAACTACAATTCCCAGCACCAGCACCATGCTGACTGATGGGAGTTGGGATCAGGCAACATCTGGAGGGCACAGGTTGGCTATCTGCGGCTCCAAGTATCATTTACAGCAGTGTTTCCCAACCTTTTTGGGCAAAGGCACACTTGTTTCATGAAAAAAATCTCGAGGCACACCACCATTAGAAAATGTTAAAAAATTTAACTCTGTGCCTATATTGACTATATAAAAAGTACAGTGGTGCCTCGCAAGACGAAATTAATTCGTTCCGCAAGTCTCTTCGTCTTGCGAGTTTTTCGTCTTGCGATGCACGGTTTCCCATAGGAATGCATTGAAAATCAATTAATGCGTTCCTAGGGAAACCGCCTTCAGACCAGGTCCGGGGGACAGTCTGTCCCCCGACCTCTTCTGAAGGCTGGGGGGGGGGACAAGGGCTTTTCTTCCCACTGCCAGCCTTCAGAAGGCTGTTCTGAAGGCTGGCGGTGGGAAGAAAAGCCCTTCTTCCCACCTCCCGCCCCGCAAGCTCCGGGGACAGGAGGGCTTTGCTGCCGACCGCCAGCATTTTAAAAGCCCCTGCTGTCCCGGGGCGATTTTAAAATGCTGGCGGGCGGGAGCGAAGTCTCCGCTGCCCCGAGGAGATTTTAAAATGCTGGGGGTCGGCAGCGAACGCTGCCCCGGGACTTCTCCGCTGCCCCGGGAAGGCAGGCGGGGGGAGCAAAGACTTTTGCCCCCGCCTGCCTTCAGAAGAGGTCCAGGACCTCGTTCCGATGCCCGGCGGCGGGGGGAGAGGTTCCCGCCCCACCGCCCGGCATCGGGGCATCGTTCCGATGCCGGGCGGCGGGGGGAGAGGTTCCCGCCCCCCCGCCCCGCTTCGGAGCAGCGTTCCGAAGCGGGGCGGCTGGGGCAGGTGTTCCCGCCCCCCCGCCCCGCTTCGGAGCACCGGGAGAAGCGATCTCCCCGCAGCCCCTTGCTTCAAAAGCGCTTCCTGCTGTCCCCGGACCTCTTTTGAAGCAAGGGGCGGTGGGGAGAAGCGATCTCGGGCGCCGCGGCGCGCAGGCGCACTGCTCGCTCCTCTTTCCGCGCAGGCGCCTTCTCTCGCTCTTTCGCCTCCTTTTCTTTCTCTCTCGATGGTCCGCCTACAAAGGAGCGAGGGAGGCGCCCTACAGTATCCCTGCACCGTTTAAAAGCTTGAGAATTTTTTCTCTTCCTCTGTGTATTAAAGCACACATTCAAACAGGATAAAATATGGTTTAGTTGTCAAACATGCCACTCAAATCCAGTAATTGCTTGGATTTGTAATTCTGTGTTCTTCCTTCTCTCTTCTGTCCAACGACTACCTCATACTCTACATGAGTTTTTTTCATTCAAGTGTAGACTTGGCTGGAAGTTGGGCTGATGTCGCTGCAAAACTCACATGATTTGTGCATTCATGCCAAGATTTTAGGTGCTGCTCTTCTTCGATATAGGTAAAGGTAAAGGTACCCCTGCCCGTATGGGCCAGTCTTGCCAGACTCTAGGGTTGTGCGCCCATCTCACTCTATAGGCCGGGGGCCAGCGCTGTCCGGAGACACTTCCAGGTCATGTGGCCAGCGTGACATCGCTGCTCTGGCGACCCAGAGCCGCACACGGAAACGCCGTTTACCTTCCCGCTAGTAAGCGGTCCCTATTTATTTACTTGCACCCGGGAGTGCTTTCGAACTGCTAGGTTGGCAGGCGCTGGGACCGAACAATGGGAGCGCACCCCGCCACGGGGATTCGAACCGCCGACCTTTCGATCAGCAAGCCCTAGGCGCTGAGGCTTTTACTCACAGCGCCACCCGCGTCCCCCCTTCTTAGATATACACCCCCAAAAAACTAATGTGTGCGGAGGATGCTGTTGATAATTGTTCTTCACTGCATATCGGAATAATTATTTACCTTCCTTCATTCTTCAGAGCAGAAACGTTGAACCTGTAGCCCTCCAGATTTCTTCTTGGACTCTGAACTCTCCACCAGCTCCTGACAAGATGGCTGGTGTTCAGGGATGATGGGAGGCTGGCTTTCCAGATGAACTACATATCCCATCATCCCTGCCCATTGGCTGTACTGGCTGGGATGAATAGGAGATGTAGTTCAGCAACAGATTAGAAGCTTTAGAGGTCCTCCCTCTCTCCTTTAGAAGCACCACCTGTCTTTTTGTTGTTGTTGTTCAAGTAAACTCTGTAAGAAAATGGGAGAAAAGCAAGTTTTCTGTGGTGCCATCCAAAAGCAAGAAAGTGATTTAGGGTACAGTCATAACTCATGTTACGTTTGCTCCATGTTACGTTTTTTCAGGTTGCGTCCTGTGGTGACCCGGAAGTACCGGAAAGGGTTACTTCCGGGTTTCGCTGCTTGCGCATGTGCAGTAGTGCTAAATCGCGCTTCGCGCATGCGCACAAACACCAAATCACGCTGCGCACCTGCGCAGATACGGCGCTTCAGGTTGCAGGCTTTTCAGGTTGCGAACGGGCCTCCGGAACAGATCCTGTTTGCAACCAGAGGTACCACTGTACAAATAAAGCTGTGAGAGTCCTTTTTGTATTTTGCAGGAACTCAAATGAGGAGGTTGTTGTTGTTTTTCTTTTATGTTTGCAATGCTAATGCATTTTCCTTCTTGGTGCGCAGAGTTCTAAATAAGCTGTGTTTCGCGGTTTCTAACATCACATTATCTGCCTTGTATTTTAGGACAACGGTCGTAGCAGCAGCGGCGTTCTTAGATGCCTTTCAGAAAGTGGCCGACATGGCGACCAACACCCGTGGTAAGCAGATGTTTCTCTTAACAGCCTTTGCTAACCTGATGCCCTCCAGATGTTTTCGGCTATGGCTGGTGGGCGCCAGGTTGTCGAAGGAAGTTTGGCGAAGGCTGAGTTGCGTTTTATTCTGTTGAGCAAAATATTATGTGATTTTAACATTAGTAGGCTCTCCCTGTCTGTCTCTCTCTCTCTCTGAAACCCTGCCAACAGCCAAATCTGTTAGACATCTGTGAAACAGTCCCCCGTTCCTTCGAAAGTGTGAATATGTACTACATGAGCAGAAATAATAAATAAATAAAATTAATAGACAGCTTGGAAAAAAGCCGAAAAGCCAGAAACCTGTCATTGAAGTTTCACTGGTGTAAATAATAGGCACGCTGCTGTATTTCGCCATCTGAACGGTATCTCGGTCCAAAATGAAAAGGGTGGGTTAGAATTTTTTATATATATAAAAAAGGTGGATTTACTGAAATACATTGGAGCGTGTTATGAGAGCAGAATACAAATGTGTTTTGCAGCTTTGCAAGGTAAGTCTGCAGTTCATCTTACTCAGCTATGCTGCTCACGACCACCTGAAAGGAGGAGTAAAATACTGTTTCCAGTTTACAAAGACTTCCGTGCCCAGAGCTAATTACTTACTCACCATAGACGAGCAGCTTCTTAGGAGCCTGGTGTTTTTGGCAGTCTCACACTTGGAAGCCGAAGCCAATTCTGTATAGTTTGGCAAAGGTGATAGTCTTCCAGGGACCTTTCCTTTCCAGTTTGCAGTCTTTACTTATACTGTGAGGCTTCTGCTGTGTATGTCTTCTTAATTTGCTCCAGAGGACTATATCTTGGCTCTGTTAGAATCATGGAATTGATAGCCCAGGAAGAGACTCTTAATCACAAGGTCATGGGTTCGAGCGCCACATTGGGCAAAAGATATTCCTGCATTGCAGGGGGTAGGTAGGAGTAGATGTCCCTCACGGTCCTTTCCAACTCTGATTCTCGTATTCGAAAGGTCTAGTTCAGCCTCCTGCAGTGCTGCGTGGATTTTCATCATCATTTGATTAGGCCAGTGTCTGTTTCCTGCTTTTCAGTGGGTAGGTAATATCCCCCATTTGGGGTGCCTGGCACAATCCTATAGAAGGCCACTTGGGAAAAACTATAGATTCCCCTGCGTTACACGTCTAAAAAAGTGTATGTGTGAGCCATGCATAATTATTGGCAATGCAACTTTCTGCTATTCTAATATTCCTAACTAAGTGACATGTGTGGCTGTGGCTGCAAAAGTGTGTAAAAAATAAATTTATTTCGTCCACCACAATACCTCAAGGAGTAGGGCCCTTCCAGATGTTATTGGACTACAACTCCCATCATCCCTGACCATTTCCCATTCTGGCTGGGACCGATCCAACAACATCTGGAACGCTGCGGGTTAGCAACCCCTGTCTTAGAGCTATGGGTGATGTTGCAGCACCATTCCTCCAGAGGTGGGAAAGGGATGTTGTGATGTCCCAAAGGCATTTTGTGGTGATCAAAGCGCTGGTTGATGGTGCTGCCTTAATGTCGCATCTTGGTGGGGCCGTCAGAAGAAGGGGCTGGAGGTGGAGGAGAGATAGACAGGCCTTGCAGCTTGCTGTCTTGCGCATGTTTCTGCCTCACGGTGTCCTGAGCAGTCAAGTTTAGCCAGGCCCCTGGAGTACCCTGGGCAAAATAGCCCCTGCCAAATCATGCCTCAGGTTCGCAATCGTGGCCTGACACTTTGTGCTTTTCTGCTTGCGTTTGGGAACAATATCCGCTGGACAGTGTTTTGGTGCCTTGCTACAGAGTAATCCCAACAGATTTACTGCATGTATTCCAAAGCTGGTGGCTTTAGACCAGGCATAGACAAACTCAGCCCTCCAGATGTTTTGAGACTACAACTCCCATCATCCCCAGCTAACAGGACCAGTGGTCAGGGGTGATGGGAGTTGTAGTCCCAAAACATCTGGAGGGCCGAGTTTGCCTATGCCTGCTTTAGACTTCCTACTGTGTTACCTGTTTCTCCACCTTAACTTGTAAGATGCTCTTTTGCCAAAAGTTGCCCTTTAGAGATTTGGCAGACACCTCTCTCTCTCTCTCTCTCTCTCTCTCTCTCTCTCTCTCTCTCTGCCCCCTACGCTGCCCCCAAACAAACCAGACTGGCGAAGGGAGTCCAGGCACACTCCTAAAACAAAATACAAAAGCATATTCTGGGCAATCCCTCAAAATGCAAAGCTTCTGGTTTATTGGCGTCTTCGAAATACTGGTTTCTAAGAAGCAGCCTTTGCTGCTGTGTTGTTCTCGGAATAAACTTAACACCTGCGGGGGAGGAAGAGGGGCGAGGACCCTTGAATTAGGCCTTCATTTAGCCTCTGCACAAAATGGGTGAAATACGCCCTTCTTGTGATCTGAAAAGGCCCCATTTGGCGCTGCGACTTGCTTTCAAAGTCTAGCGAACGCTGGGTAAAAATAGAGCAATTAATTAAGAGCTGAGTTATTTAATACTGCTCTAATGGTTGAGCCAGCTGTTCGGTTGTAGCGCTGATGAGGAGAACTGCTATTTTAAAAGCATGTAGTATCGCACGGCTAATGTTCACGTGCAGCAGAATTGTGTGATGCGGATGGGGGTTTGTGTATGCACGTTTGTGTGCACTGCAGGTGAAAGGATTCCATATTGGAATGTTTTCCAACACACAAAATAAATAACTTTCTACTTGCGGAAGAGTAGCTCATCTGAAAAGCAGCTAGTTTAGAATCTTTCTCTCCGATACGCTAGCTCAAGGGCAGCCAACACAGCGCCTTCCAGGTGTTTCAAACTATAAATCATACAAGCCCCATCCACCATGGCCAAGGGTTCAATGCTAATTGTAGGCTACAACATCTGCAGGGCACCATATTGGTTTCCCTTGTACTAAGCTGGTTGATATTTGTGGAGAGGCACCCTGGTGTATAGGGGAGTAGCTGGAAAAACCCCAAATCTGCCAACTACTTTGGTTTAAGTTGATAGTACATAGGTCAGGCATCCCCAAACTCGGCCCTCCAGATGCTATGGGACTACAATTCCCATCATCCCTGACCACTGGTCCTGCTAGCTAGGGATGATGGGAGTTGTAGTCCCAAGACATCTGGAGGGCTGAGTTTGGGGATGACTGACATAGGCAGACGCGCCTATAAAGCCTAGGAGACACATTTTCACGGCCCTCTAGTGCCTATGGTGACTCATTTACTGGAAATAATGTATTTAGCATTAATTCTGGAAGCGTGAACTCAATTTTGGCCAAACTTAAGCCTCTGGGAGAATCGAGTCTACACTTTTAACTACTTCACATCTCAGTGGAACCAGAACTTTGAATAATGGCTCCTGATAGCTCTGTGCTCCGGCTGTTAGTGTGTGTCTGATTCCACATGTCTGTGGAATGTCTCTGGTGAATCTCTCACTCAGAAAGGATTGCTTCACACGCACACGCTGAGAGTTCCTATCGGAAGTGACTACTTTCTAGGAATATACGCCATCCCTCCATGAAGGTAGCTGGGCTCGGTGATTCTCTGCACATTGGTGTCTTGCTGGGTGCAAATTGCTTCCCTGAAGCGGTTCTTAGCATGAGGTTGCAATAGCGCTAAGGTGATGAGGATGCCCTGAGTGGACATAGACCACATGCTGCTTTTATTTCAAACTGACTCCCAATTTACCCAGCACGTACACCTGCCTTAAGGCAGGGCTATTCCCCAGGTTGCATGCTCTGCATGTGTGTGGCAACGTGCTACCTTAATGTATGCGTGCTCCTATTCGCCTCCCTTCCCATTCTTGCGTAGCATAAAGGAAAATGCAACGGCCCAGCAAGTGTATCATAGGAACCTAGGAAGCCGCCTTATACAGAGTGAAACCTCTAGTCCATTTGGGTCAGTATTGCCTGCACGGACTGGCAGTTGCTCTTCCAAGATTTTAGATGGGATCTTCTCTAGCAGGAGATACTGGGGACCATCTTCAAGCAGAGCAGATACCTTACCACTGTTCTGTGGCCCTTCCAGCGGGGAAGAGGAAATGCGCCGGTGTGCGCGCATGTACGGCTGTGTTAAAAGTTGGCACAACGCAAAATGCTGACTCGTGTGCCTAATTGCAGAAAAGGAAGGGAGGGGGATTTCTTTTTAAATAATTTTTAACAAACCTAATGGAAAACTGCCTGGTTAAAATGTTTAATGCCTCGCAGCATTATTGTTTACGGGAAGTTTGCAATCTATTTTAAGGCCTGGCCATTCTAGCTGAGGGAAGCATTTTATCCCTGTCAGTCCGCAGCAGCCCTCGTCAGCCTCCTTTTTATCAGTGCTCACTTTGCAGGAAGAAAATTGCTTCGTGTATAAAACTTCCATGTACACATACTGTATTATTAAAAAGGTAACACGCCTAAATGGAAAGCTAGAGTTACTTTCCGTGTCCTGTGGCCTTTGTCTACTCTTGCCTTTCCCTCCTGCCCTCTTCCAAGTACATACAGTATTAGTATGAAGCAGAATGCTCCTATTCAACAGGAATTATAAGCTTTATCTTGTTGCCGCTTCAACATTTAACCAAAACAGAGACTATCTTAGATAAACGGAAGCCTGTTGAGTTCCTTGGTCAACATGTGACTTGCTTTGTGTGCGTATATCAGCTACAGCTTTGTGAAATGATGAGTGTTTGGAAGATTTTATCCCTCCCAGTTCTACAATCCAGTGATTCTGTGATTTATTGACTGCCTTTTAGAACACAGTTGCCCCTCCAAGTTGGTGTACGAGTCGTCATAAACGTTCAGCGATCCTCCTCATTAAACAATGCAATCTTCAATTAAAACCACATTAAGCCTCTTAAAAATAGAGCAGTAGTGAGGTTGCATTTTGCTTTGTGTGCCTTGCGTTCCTCCATCTGCCCTATATGCTTGCCTTGTTCTTACATCACTACCTGAAAAGCATTGTTTGTCTTTAAAATAAGAAATTATGGGATTGTTGGGTAGAATTCCACCCAGTGCTGA